AAAAAAAAAAAAAAAAAAAACACCAAAAACCTGATTTTTAAGGGCTAGGTGTTAATCCACTGTTTGAACATGCTCAATTTAGTCAACCGTTCTTCTACTTTTGAGCATTTAGCATTTAGTTTCCCTCTGATTTTCTCTACTAGCTTATTAATAATACAGCAATATAAATAGTCTTCTTCATATATCTTTGTCCACCTCCCTGATTATCAATTTATATTCTCATCAGCTATTTGGAGAACTATAATCTCACCATAAACTGTCCAATACTATTGTCTATGTTTTGTTTCTTCATACATTTTTTTAAGGAAAAATACTTTTGTGTGCCTTTGTTTCCTTGTTAGGTTGGTTGAACAATTTTAATTGTTTCTTATTTGTTATTTATGTCTATTTATACTCTTTTTACGTTTCTCCATTGAGATGTTCGGTTTCTTATAGATTTAAATATCATTTTAAATAAAGCAATGATAATAACTCTTTCCCCTTAATATTTTTGTTGTTTTTTATTATGTTTTGCACAGATATAAGTTTGAGATATTTATAGAATACTGTTTTGGCTGTGCGCGGTGGCTCACGCCTGTAATCCTAGCACTTTGGGAGGCAGAGGCAGGTAGATCACCTGAGGTCAGGAGTTCGAGATCAGCCTGGCCAGCATGGTGAAAGCCCATCTCTGCTAAAAATACAAAAATTAGCTGGGCATGGTGGTGGGTGCCTGTAACCTCAGCTACTCAGGAGGCTGAGACAGGAGCATTGCTTGAACCTGGAGGCGAAGGTTGCAGTGAGCCAAGATTGCACCACTGCACTCCAGCCTGGGTAACGAGAGTGAAGTAAGTTTTTTCCCCTATATATCAATCATTTAACTTAATCAATTTATGGTGAACTTACCTTTTTCTTTGACCCTTTAATACATCTGGGATTTATTGGGGGGCATATTATAAGGTAAGAACTTAACAAAATTTTGTTTCAAAGGAGTTTCCCAAATCTCTTTTTCTTTCATCGTTACCTTATATACAGTTAAACATCAGTTGTTGAGTCATGACCTCCCTCCCCGTTGATTGCAGTGCTTTCTTTATCACTCGTGCCGGCGCCTGATTCAATTCTATCTGCTCTGTTTTCCTGATCTGTGTGTTGATTCATGACTGCATAATACATTTTCATTTTGTGGCTTTATGGCATGCTCTTCATGTGCCAGGGTGCATCAGAGCACACTAGTCTTCTTATTTTAAACTTTATAATGTTTTTGAATCTCATAATTCTTTGTAATTCTTACCTTTTTTTTTTTTTTTTGAGACAGAGCCTCACTCTGTCACCCAGGCTGGAGTGCAGTGGTGCGATCTGAGCTCACTGCAACATCTCCCTCCTGGGTTCAAGCCGTTCTCCTGCCTTAGCCTCCCGAGTAGTTGGGATGATAGCTGCTCACCACCACACCAGGCTAATTTTTTATATTTTTAGTAGGGACAGGGCTTCATCGTGTTAGCCAGGATGGTCTTGATCTCCTGACCACATGATCAGCCAGCCTTGGCCTCCAAACGTGCTGGGATTACAGGTGTGAGCCACTGCACAGTCCTTTTTTTCTTTTTCTTAGATAGTCTTGCTCTGTCACCCGGGCTGGAGTGCAGTGGCATGATCATGGCTCACTGCAGCCTCCACCTCCTTGGCTCAAGTGATCCTTCTGCCTCTGCCTCCCAAGTAGCTAGGACTACAGGGGCATGCCATGACCCCCAGCTACTTTTTGTTTTTTTGTTGAGATGCAGTCTCACTATGTTACCCAGGCTAGTCTCAGACTCCTGGCCTCAAGAGGTCCTCCTGCCTCAGCCTCCCAAACTGCTGAAATTATTGGCAGGAGCCATTGTGCCCAACCTAATTCTTACCTTTTTATTTATTTTAAAACTTTTTTCTTTTCTTTCTTTCTTTTTTTTTTTTTTTCCTTACAGACAGGGTCTTGCTTTTGCTCTGTCACCCAGGCTGGAGCGAACCCATCATAGCTCACTGCAGACTGAGACTTAAGTTCCTGGGGTCAAGCAGTCCTCCCACTTCAGCCTCCCAAGTAGCTGAGACTGTGGGTGTGCACCATCAAACCCACTTAATTTTTTTTTTTTTTTTTTTTGGCACAGACAGAGCCGGGCTGGAGTGCAGTGGTGCTATGCTATCAGAGCTCACTGTAACCTCAAACTCCTGGAATCAAACAGTCCTCACACCTTGGCTTCCCAAAGCACCAGGATTACAGCAAGAACCAGTGCACCTGGCCCAAAATGTTTTACCTTGTTATAGTTGTTTAATAGATATGCAGGAAGTTACCTATATAGTGACTTTTATCCATTGTTTCTCAACAGTGACATTTTATATAACTGTAGGACAATATTAAGCCAGAAAATTTATGTTGGTGTAATACTGCTAAGTAGACAACCAATATGATTCTGTTTCACCATTGGTACATGCATTCACTCGTGTATATTTGCGTGTGATGTTTTATACAATTTTATCTCATACACAGATTCATGAGACATAACCACACTCAAGATACAGTGCTGGTCAGACACGGTGGCTCATGCCTGTAATCCCAGCATTTTGGGAGACTGAGGCGGGAGATCACCTGAGGTCAGGAGTTTGAGACCAACCTGGCCAACATGTCAAAACCCCGTTTCTACTAAAAATATAAAAATCAGCTAGGTGTGGTGGTGGGTGCCTATAATCCCGGCTACTCAGGAGGCTAAGGCATGAGAATCATTTGAACCTGGGAGACAGAGGTTGCAGTGAGCTGAGATCATGCCACTTCACATTAGCCTAGGAGACAGAAGGTGACCCTGTCTCCCTGAGGTTGGGAGTTTCAGACCAGCCTGACCAACATGGAGAAACCCCATCTCTACTAAAAATACAAAATTAGCCAGGCATGGTGGCATATACCTGTAATCTCTGTTACTCGGGAGGCTGAGGCAGGAGAATAACTTGAACCTGGGAGGCAGAGGTTGCAGTGAACTGAGATCGCATCACTGGACTCCAGCCTGGGCAACAACAGCAAAACTCCATCTCAGGAAAAAAAAAGAAGAAGAAGAAGGGGACTCTGTCTCAAAAACAAAAAGAGACACAGACCTGCCCCATCCCACAAAGGAGCTCTCTTCCCTGTCTTACCATTTATATTTGTACCTCCACCACAGTCCCCTGGCAACCACTAATCTCTTCTATAGCTTTGACATTTAAAAAGTATTCTATAAATTAAATCATAGTGTATATAACCTTTTAAGACTGGCTTTGTATTTTACGAAGCATAATGCCCTTGAGATACAGCCAGATTTTTGTGTGTATCAGTAGTTGATTCCTTTTATAACTGAGCAGTATTCCATTGTATCAGTTCGTTTAACTACTCATTCATTCACAGAAGGACATTTGTATTGTTTCCACTATGGGGCTGTTACAAATGAAACTGCTATGAACATCCATGTGCAAGTTTTTATGTGAACATTCAGTTTTGTTTTGTTTTGAGATGGAGTCTAGCTCTGTTGCCAGAGTGCAGCGGCGTGGTCTCGGCTCACTGCAACCTCCGCCTCCTGGGTTCAAGTGATTCTCCTGCCTCAGGTTCCTGAGCAGCTGGGACTACAAGCACAACCCACCACACCCAGATAATTTTGATATTTTTAGTAGAGACAGGGTTTCACCATGTTGGCCAGGCTGGTCTTGAACTCCTAACCTCATGATCCACCCGTCTTGGCCTCCCAAAGTGCTCAGATTACAGGCGTGAGCCACTGCACCCAGCCCATTGAGTTTTTATTTATCTGGGATAAATGCCCAAGGGTGCAATTGCTGGGTAGTATGGTGAATGTATGTCTAGTTTTATTAAAATGCTGCTGGCAGGGCATGATGACTCATGCCTGTAATCCCAGCACCTTGGGAGGCTGAGGCAGGCAGATCACGATTTTAAGAGATCGAGATCATCCTGGCCAACATGGGGAAACCCCATCTATACTAAAAATACAAAAATTAGCCACACGTGGTGGTGGGCGCCTGTAGTCCCAGCTACTTGGGAGGCTGAGGCAGGAGAATTGCTTGAACCTGAGAGAAGAAGGCTGCAGTGAGCCGAGATCGCACCACTGCCCTTCAGCCTGGTGACAGAGCAAGACTCTGTCTCAAAACAAAACACAACAAAACAAACAAAAAACACAGCCAAACAGCTTTTCATAATGACTGTACCATTTTTTTGGTAACCACCAGCAATGTATGAGAGTTACAGGTTCTTTGCCTCCTCTGATGGTTTTTTTTTTTTTTTTTATGATTTTTTTCTTTTTTTATTTTTTCTGCTCTTTTAGGTGTGCCATAACATTGTGATTTTTGCTCACCCTCGAAATCTCAGCACTTTGGGTGGCTGAAGTGGCGTGGCTGGCTGGAGTCAAGGAGTATGAGACCAGGCTGGGCAACAGAGTGACACTCTGCCTCTACATTATAATTTTTTTTTAAAATAGCTGGGCATGGTGGCAGCTGCTGGTAGTCCCAGCTACCAGGGAGGTTGATGTGGGAGGATCACTTGAGCCCAGGAGGTCAAGGCTGCATAAAAGAATGATCGATCTACCACTCCAGCCTGGATAACAGAATGTATTAGTCCATTTTCGTGCTGCTGATAAAGACATACCTGAGACTGGAGATTTACAAAAGAAAGAGGTTTATTGGATTTACAGTTCCACGTGGCTAAGGAGGCCTCACAATCATGGCAGAAGGTGGAGGGCACGCCTCACATGGCAGCAGACAAGAGAAGAGAGCTTGTGCAGGGAAACTCCCGTTTTCACAACCATCAGATCTCGTGAGACTTATTCACTGTCACGAGAACAACCTGGGGAAGACCCACCCCATGAGTCAATCACCTCCCACCAGTTTCTTCCCAGAATGAATGGGTGGTATGAGAGTTACAATTCAAGATGAGATTTGGGTAGGAACACAGCCAAACCATATGACAGAGTGAGACCCTATCTCTGTAAAGTAAAAAATGACATTGTGCTTTTAATTTGCATTTCCCTAACTGCCAATGAAACTGAACGATCTTATCTTTTAATTTTTCCAGATGAACTTGATCCAAAGATTTCCCCAAAACCTTCCATTAATATTTTTATTGGATTATGTTAAAATATACCTTTAGTTGTGAATAATCTACATTTTTAAGATAGGAAGTCTTCTAACCAAAAAATGTCTCCATTTATTTATTAGTATTTTTCTCCGTAAAGTTTTATATTTCCTTTCATATAGGTCATGAATTTATAAATATTATTATGTGGATTACTCATTTTTGCCCTTCTCTATTTTGTTTTGCTTCATTTTTTGAAAATTTTCCTAGGTGGAATTTTCTCACTACATCTTTGAGCCTATTGATAGAATATAGTAAATTTATTTATTTTTGTTTATTTGCCTTTTATTCTGACACTTAGCTCCATTATTAGTTCTAATAGCTTTATAATTTTTCTATGTGCATAAATATAGGTAATGCAGTAAAATGATCTAATGGTTAATGTGTATTGGGCATTTGAAATGTACCAGTTAAGCACTACACTTCACTTGCATTAGTTCACTTGAATCCATTTGTCATCTTAAAAAAAAAAAAAAAAAAAAACTCATTGCCCAGATGTGCCTCTGTGCTTGAATTAATTGTGCCATGAATTGGTGTCTGCTATTAATTGTAATTACAGGTTCTTCTAGAATGACAGTATGAACACAGAGGGTAGTTCAATTTGAAACCCCCTCTGAATAATCACACCTTAGGTTTCTGTGTCATATGTGAATGGGTGCAGGAAGGGAGGCAAAAAGGTACAAAGTACCAGCTGAATAAAGAAGTAAGGGGAAATCCAGGGTTTGGCTGGGCAAACATGAAGAACTGGGGATTTTATAGAAACAGCCTGCAATTCCCCACCCCTCTTCCAAGCCCCATCTTTGCAGACAGATCAAACGAATTACAGAAAAGCAGGCAAAGTCCATCCCTGCTCTCCATCCCTTTCCTCCTCCCCTTCTCCAGGCACTATTTCTGAGAAAAGGAGTTTTTTCTGTTTTTGTTTTTTCTCTTTTTTTTGAGACGGAGTCTCACTCTGTCGCCAGATTGGAGTCCAGTGGCAGTGATCTCAGCTCACTGCAACTTCTGCCTCCCAGGTTCAAGCCATTCTCTTGCCTCTGCCTCCCAAGCAGCTGTGGCTACAGGTGCACACTACCACGTCCAGCTAATTTCTGTATTTTTACTAGATACGGGGTTCCATCATGTTGGCCAGGATGGTCTCGATTTCTTGACCTTGTGATCCGCCTGTCTTGGCCTCCCAAAGTGTTGGGATTACAGGTGTAAGCCACCGCGCCCGGTCTTTTGTTTTCTTTTTTTTGTTTTTGTGGGGGGGCAGGGTTTTGCTCTGTCACCCAGGCTTTAGTGCAGTGGCGTGATCATAGCTCACTGCAGCTGGCTCCTCTAGGGCTCAAGCCATCCTCCCGCCTCAACCTCCCAAATAGCTGGACTACAGGAGCACACTACCATACCCGGCTAATTTTTTAAAAACTTTTGTGTAAAGGCAGAGTCACTGCGTTGCCCAAGCTAGCCTCAAACTCCTGGGCTCAATGGTCTTCCTGTCTCAGCCTCCCAAAGTGCTGGGATTAGAGTTTCTGATTTCTTGAGTTGAATGTGCAGTTTACTTCTTGTAAGTGCTGGGATTAGAGCTTCTGATTTCTGGGGTTGAATGTGCAGTTTGTTTATTTACCTCCTCTCTTGTTTAAAAACTTAAGTGTTCACAAGCACACATTTATCTCTCACTTCTACTTTAACGGCATTCTGCAAGAGTTGATAGGCACTGTTTCATTGTCATTATTTTTTAAAATGGCCTATAATTATGGCTCTGATTTCCTCTTGG